CAAAGCTGTCAGCCTCAGGTTGCTGGAGTTCGAACCTCACACCTCTCCCGCTGGCCAATAGAAAACCTAGGATAGACTCTCAAGATCAGTAGCAAATCACTGACCCAAAAATGGCACTGGAGCTAAAGAGAGGAGGCAACAAGCCTCAAGGTTTTAAGCAGCAACAGAGTATTTGAAGTATATCCCTGCAAACAGGGGCCAATCTAAAATATGGAGAGAGAATCTGCTTCACAGCCATTTGTCCATCACATCAGAAACATTTTCGTGTTTTACAGCTGGACTAGCATACTACTGTCCACCAGACTGAAGACCAGTCTTGTGTGTAGGTATTCCTTATGCAGTTCCAATCCATTCATTGATGGCTAAACTACACATTGCAGATTATTCCTAAAGAATTCTTTTAAAGCCTCATTTTAAAAAATTCACACTAATACTGAGCTTGTTTCTTGCATGTAAAAGGGTTTTCACTTAAAAGCCTATTTATGTTAATAGATTTATTTCAAATTGATTTTTTAAAAAATGGGTTACACACCCTCAATACGCTAATCCTTTCCCATTGGCTGAGATTCTACGATGTTTGCCTTCATCTCGTTCAGGGAAACAGAGCAGTTCCCAGAACAATATGTTGCTAGGAAACCTTCCAAGCTTATTTATCTTGTGCTGAGGGGTGATGTTGAGCACCTACCTGTAATTGGTACCATGTGAAATGGGGAAAAGGTGAAAGAAGCACAGATGAGAGCTGATGTGAAACTCTTGTTATTTATTTGGCGATTAAAAGAAAACAGATTATCTTAGATGCTATCTTTCAGGACAAAATTATATTTTGTTTTAGAGAATGGATTACTAAAGTTTGAAATTATTTTTACTGGAAAAAGGAATTTTTTAATTTAATCTCAATCAATTTAAATTTATTTCATGTCTTAATTTTTTTAATTCATTTTAAAGAGAAAATAAAATAGCACTGAAACAGTTTCAAAACAGATTAGTAACACAGTCACAATAATTAATACATTGTATATTGTTGTCTACATAGTGGTTATTCAGAGGTCAAGATGCAGACAAGACATCTAAACAATATCAGTCCAAACCTTTCTTCTCATTGAACTAAGAGATATATTATATATTTATCCTCACTATTTTTATATATACTTTTTTCATTACAAAATGGTCCTTTATTTATATACCACTTTTTTGTTTTGTTTTGTCAGAGATGGATGTTCCATTGCTGTGAGAGCAACTGTATTTAGAGAAGTCCTTAAAGGGCCTTTTCATATTTGATGCCAATCCAAACATTTGTATGTATTTAAATTCAGCAAAATAACCCAATGTAGTCTAATAGTCCACATTAATAGTGGGTTATCAGCAGAACTGGCAACTGTCTGAAGTTGTTGACTTGAGCCTTTTACAGCTCAGCATCTTTATATGGCATTACTATTTATATCTCATGGTTATACTTTTCTGTTGGATGGTTAAGACCAAGTTAAAGCAAAACCTATATAACTAAAAATGTAACTTTTGTATCTGACAAGGTCAGTCAAATCCCCTCAGGGTTTACCCTGAAATTATGTACAGCACCTTGTAGATCTTTTGTCAGTGTCAGCTATCTGGGCGAGTCACGGCCATTGCTTGAACAATCTGCTCTCTGTGAAAGCCTGAGAGAATTTTTTTCTCTCTAGATGACTCTCTTTAGGCATACTATACATTGTTGATCACTTTCCTCTGTGGCCCCATAATCTCCTTGATCAGGAAATTTGGGACACCACTGAGTTACAGGATGTCACAGTCCAAGTTCTCTGTACTGAGTCCTCACTGACCTTGATGGGCTAGAGCCAAAATATTGGCTATTCTTGTAGCTCCTCTATTTCTCTAATTTTTGGCCTGCAAACTTTAGTTGTTAAACATACAGAAAAGAAGCTTAATGATATTATTACCCTGTAACAGAGGCAGTTGGGCTTAACATCACTATCTGTCTGAATATCAAAGACCTTAGACACAACATGGAACTGCTATTTTCCAACAACCATAGATATTCTAAACTTAAGTCCCTACAGAATGTGAAAAAAACAATCACATATTTTTACAAAGAAATTTAGAAATCAAACCATGTACAACATTGTAGCAAGACAATCATATAAAATTTTTTTCTTGTGTCTTTTCTTGCCTTTTTTTAAACAAACATTTACTTTAAAGAGAGTGTAGCAATAATCAATATGACATTAGAAGCAGTACACATTTAGATTATTATTATTTTTTTTTTTTATTTTTATTTTTTTTTTTTGCAGAACCGGGTATTGAACTCAGGCCCTTGCGCTTGCCAGGGAAGCGCTCATTCCACTGAGCCATCTCCCTGGCCCGAGTACACATTTTGAAGACCAAAATGATAGGTATTTCAAGCATGGTTTTAGAATTACATATTGCTATTTTCAGTGTAGTTGATTAGTTCACAGATAACAGCATATACAGTTAGTCAGGGTGAGAATTCTACCTATTAACTGCTATTTTCAAGAACCAGATGGAGATTCTTAGGCCCACTGCCTTAACCATCTTGTTTATATAAATGTATGGTTTTGCCCATGCCATATTTCCTAACTCTTTATTGGAGAAAGGAATTTAAAAAAAAAAACTTCTTCAATACTGTCGCGTAGTTTTAATTAAAAGAACAAATCCTCTGGGGGATGGGGAGATGGCTCAGTGGAATAAGTGCTTCTCTGGCAAGCACAAGGGCCTGAGTTCAATCCCTGGTTCTGCCAAAAATAAAAATAAATATAAAAGAACAAATCCTCAAAAAATCCACAACTGTTTTATGAGTGCAACTAAAAAAGAGCATGCATCACTTCAACGTGATATTTATTAAAAACACCCAAGCACATAAATAGAAAA